TTAACTCTCATAAAGTAAAAATTGATACATTAAGATCTCATTTTTAAACAAGTATATAATTGTGTCACTGCATGTTTAGTCATCATTCATTATGTACTTTTAATATACAACACAGAGCATCATTGATATCATTGTCTAAAAAATTTAATAATGTGATATTATTTAAATATTATGTGTCCGGGGAATAAGTGATAGATGTACATGCGTAATACAATATATGCAACGTGATTGAGCTAGCATATTGATTAGGACAATACTGAATTAATTACTATCATTAGTTTCAATTCCAAGTAGTAGCTGTATTATGTAATGTGTTATGTGAGAATTTTTAATAATATAATGCCTCGATGATAATAATGTCGATTAATTGTAAGTTATAATTACAAAGTGTAAGTTACAGATGACAGAGAATAAAATAAGGTTTTTATACAATTTTTATAAAATATAATTTTATAAAAATTGTATAAAAAATTATTATATATTTAAAAAGTTATAATTACGTAACTGTATAATATACATAACATGTTATTTCTAAATTGTACGAGCTACAGCCTTTATTAATTCGCCACTGTTTTGTAATAAAGCTACTAATGTCTCACAGTCTCCTGGTTGTGAAAAAGCTTCACTTGCATTCCGGAAGATATTTTCCACAATGAGACTCGTTCCTTTTCCACCATCTCCACATTGCGTGGCTCAATTTTGTCTTCTTAAAACTATTTCTTCATATATTGTATATCAAAACATATCATTAGAAGAATTACTATATCTTAATTTTTATGTAAATTTTCTAGATATCGTAAAAATATAATAATAATCGCGATCGGTACAACAAATTCCAATTATCATGTACGCGGCGGCAAGATTATTACGTACGATTACGTAATTTTCTCTAATATATATATATATATATATATATATATATATATATATATATATATATATAAATTTTCCCTATTAATTCGTGCGAGTGCGTGCGTTTGCATTTTTAAATACAAATAAGCGCAATTTTTTTAATTAAAGAACATTGCGTATTTTTATACTCGGTGATTCTGGCCATATCATAAAAAAGTAAAAAATCCATTTTTGCTTTGAATTTGAATTAAAATTTTCAGAACGTGTTCCCGCATAATTAGTAATATAAAGAAATTGAACATGTACTTTTGCCCGCGGTAAACTTTTTCTTAATTAAAATATGTAAAAGTGGTATGTATACATTCTTTGAGTACGCTTTGAACTGTCTCTCTCTCTTTCTTTTTCTCTCTTTCTCTCTACTAAAAATTTAAATAATCATAAACAATAGATATACTATCTTTTTTACTTTATCAGTATTTGCTGAGAGTGTCCCCGAAAGGGAGTTTTTGCAAACTGTGCGGCTGATAACGCACAAGAAAAATATGCTTTTTTTTTTTAAATTAAGTTTTGTTAACGATAGTCTGTATTTTTTTAATGACGAAAGAAAAGAATATACTTGTGAGAATATAACAACTCACAGCATATTAACATTTCATACATGGTATAATAACATTTCAATTCGTAAAATAATACACAGCAGTGCAATAGTTTCACCGAGAAATTTCGATTAACCGTTTAAAAGTAATAGTATATCAAGAGTTCCCTCTCTCGCTTTCTCTGTATAGAAACGTATTCTATTTTTATTGTTTAATTTCATAAAAAATATTGCAATAATACACACTTCGTTATGCAATATAAATCCGTGAATTGGGGTAACGTAATACCTACTCTAAATAACAAGACAATAGAAATAGAAAAGTAAAGTTTATTTAAATTCTAATATTTTGCGTGAAATTCAAATTAATCCTTGAAATCAAAAATATTTCCGTAAATAACGCATTCAACTGTTACTGCGGTTAATCTGTGGACGGTAAAAATAATACGTCGAGGTATTTTTTCAAATGCTAAACAAAAACATCGAAAATGTAATCAATAACAATGCAATTTTATCAGATAGGAGCGATTTTTCATTGACATAACGAAGCGAACTGTAAAATTGCAGTTGCACCACTCTTGATTGAATCTTTATTCTGCCTTTTTTTTGCATATGCAATTGTAAAAATATATATGTATAATATATATAAATTTTATCTATGTCAGTTATTGAAAATCAATTCTTTGACACATTATTTGAACAAATCATTTATATAACTTAAAATAATACGGAATAGTTTGACAGCTTCGTATATTTATAAAAAATATTTTAACATTAAAAAATAATTTCCACTGCATTGTACTAAAAAATTGAAATAATAATACACTAGAGAATAAAACTTTGCCGTATTTATCTTGAAATATTCTCGTAAAAAGGCGAAATGCGTTCTGGAAGAATTAAAATATACTCATCAGACTAGCGCACCGCAGTATAACCGCATGCGGTTTCCACGATGCTTTTTCACAGAAAAAGTTCATTTCTTTAACTTCGGATGAGACGGACGCAGAACTCATTTTCTAACGACCAAAAACGCAATGCGCAATCGAGGCAAACGTCATGTACACACGTTCTTGCACATACACGTATTCCTTCCGCCTTCGCTTCCAATCGGCGACTAAATCGGAAATAAGCAATCGGCGATGCCTTCGTGCAGTTTTGCTCGCCGCGAAGATTGTGATGACCGACTTCGAAGAGCGAATCGCGAACAGTGCAGAAAGGAGTCCTCGCAGGAATCGAAGAGTACAGTTTTTTTTTTGTACCGAATCCGCGACGTGTTGTTTCCTCCGAGACGTCCAGTCAACATATAAAAATTCGATGTCCCGATGCTTCATTAGGAAAAACCGCCCGCCGTTGTCGGCTGGGCCTCATGAGCGCGCGTTATCGGTGTGCAGATCCACGATCCGTGAAATTACGACGGGGGCGTCCGGTACGCCGGCGCGCACCTTGTAATTTTACGACTCGCGGGCCACTTAACATCGGGACCGTATATTTCCCATAAAGCGCTCTCTCGGACGTTCCTTGTAGTGCGGCCGGACAGACCGCGGCTCCTCACCTCACCCGAGGTAAACCACCGTTCGTCTGCAGGTAAACGATTACCCGCTCCCGCAGTCCCCGTTTCTCGCGAGGCGAGGGAACAAGGCCCGGTGTGAGGCCGAGCCCCCGCCGTCGCTATCTCCTTACGAATCTCGACAAAATGCGTCGTGTCGGCTTGTCGGCGCTTATTACGCCACGTGACGAAATGACAGTGCTCATGGCAAACACAAAGAGGCATTCGTCCCGGTCGTGTGAGTCGTGTAATCGCGTGCAGGCGGTTCCACGCCCAGGAGGCGCGGAAAATTTCACGCGTACGGACGGCGGGACGGTTTTTACATTGTAAGCTCGTATACATATATATTTATATATTTATACATATATATTTATATATATGTATATGTATTCAGTGCGCGCGCGAGCGAACGGGTCGTGTCGCATGTGTGCCGTAGAATATCCGAGGGGTTATCAGGATGCTTGCTCCCAGCCGGCGTTCTCCACGCGTATCAACATACTAATAGGAAGCACGATTAACATATTTTTTTGTGTAACGAGACGCACAAAATAAATTGCTGAAAAAGGAAAAGTTATTATATTGTATAAAAATTAAACTACAATTATTTCTTTATTCATTATTTTAGTTTAATATCATTTAAGTTCGAAGTTTCGCTTCATCGCAATGTAGAAAAACTATGAAGTTTTCTTGAAGTCCATTGGTGACACTTTTTAGCCTTTCTTACTTTTTTTTAAATCTTAATATTTATTACACTAATGTTTTAATATAATATAATAATAGTCCATTGCGATATTTTACATAGGTAAATTAATGATTTTCTTTATAGCGTAAGCAAATATAAAGAACTAGTTTTTCTGCCTTAGCATACTTTACTTTATATTTTTTGCAAATAAAAAAGAAAGGCCTTTCTTTTACATACGTTTACGCCAAGTAAACCGCTAAATAGCATAAACTTATCGGCATCGCAGCGTGCGGCGAGTACAGGTAAACCCTTTTTATATTTCTATTTTTTTACGTTAATAATAAGTGAGGCGCGAAAGCGTTTTTATTTTTAACCGGCAAAGACAGCGGGCGAGCTCCCCTTTTTTATATATACACATGTATATGTATAAAATATCTCACTGAGAAAAAACCTTCGTTCATCTCGTAAGTACGTTACTCATGTTACACGCACAGCGCAAAATATCGTTCCGGCGATTAAGAGAACGTTAAGGTCGGCGTTACGGGTTGGCTGTGTGAGACTCGTGCACCGATATTCGGGATGATGGATCGATACGGTGCCAACTGCGGTAATTTCTCTGAGGAGAAGCTAAACGAGATATGAACGACACGATTAATTCCCCCGAACGATCTTTTTCGGCGCTGTTAACGGTTATCTGATTGGCTCACGCAGCACCCGACGCTACGGGTAGGTGCAACGTAACGAGCTGCAGCGATCGTCTTTTTTCACCGGCAACGGCGCGGCGCGGCGCGGTGCGGTGCATTCTTTTTGTGCGACGCGCGAACTCGGCTGGCAAGACCGGCTGGCCGGTTATTACCGCAGAAGAAAGCGTGTTGAGCGCAGAATAATGTTCGCACGGATCTACAAAACGAACGTTTAATTAATAAACCACACTCAATGCGCGTAACAATACCTTCAACATCGCTGAACGCGTTTCAACAAAACCGTTGCGATATCGAGAATGTTGCAAGTGTTGTATTAAGGTTTAGTACGTACATTTTTTTTTACGCGCGCATGACAGAGTTCCGTCTAATCGTATACCCATTTCCGTAACGTCGTCTGTATATCCATGATATAGATTAGAATATTTAATAAATAATTATTACTCTTGCGCAGATACGCCTTGTTATTTGCATCGCGCGTGATGTTTGTAGATTGCGCGAATGAAATATTGCGCGAGCAGTTTAGCACGTATGTCGCGTTCAAACATTTTATGCATTCATAACGACGCAGGCAATTACCCTCAAGTTGCCGGCGTGATAAGTACCAGGCTGAAAACATAAATCGTGACTCGTGACACGCGCGCCGCAGCCTTCTAAGCGTGCAGCGCGGCGCGGCGTGACAATCATCATGTGGGTACCCATCTAATATCAAAGTACGCACGACCGTGACAAATCCCAGATTACCTTTCGGGGATAACAATACGGGCGGCGGTATGTAGAAGACAGAACCGTGGTGTTAATTTCCTGTTGCGGAGCCAAACAAGCCAACAGGGAGAAACAAAGGCTCATAGGGGATCTTCGCTACGCCTGTCTGCTTTTATCCCTCGATTCGCGTCTTCCATCGTCAAAGATGAAATGGGTAGGTACCTGTCGTTCGTGCGCGAAAAGCAATCGTAGCATCAGACATTGCCGCAACCTTTCTCTCATTATGATGTGTTAAATTAAATAAAGTTTAAATAGGAAAGGCAACACAGAGTATTGAGAGGCGTCGAGAATTGAATTAGACAGAGAAACGACCTGTCACAGAAGAGACGCGCGAAATGAGACAAAATTATACGATAAATGGCTCGAAAACTCGTTTAATTATTTAAAAAAAGAATGTTCACCTCTTTGATTTAATTACTAGGTATATTTAAAAATGGAAATTTTTGCGTTTTAGAGACAGAGAATAATTGTTTATTTTGCAAAAATAACTTACAGTTGCAAATGAATCAATGAATATTAATGTTATGTTAATTGGAGAAACAAACATATTTAATAATACTGGAAGCACATCAATGGAGTTTTTAGAAATGAAAACGAGCAAAAAATATTATTTTTTTCATTAATTATTTGACAAATAATTAATGTAAAGTTTCGCATTAGAAAACAATAATTGGCGATAATGACGATATTTTAATCTTTTGCTTGTTATCTTTATTATTCTTTTTTTTATGATCACAGATCTGTAAGAAAAACAGATTTTAATTTTGTCACGGAAAACGATTGCATACATGCTTACAAACGCGTCATAAATGAGATCTTTAATCAAGAAAATGAACGAGCCACACACTAACAATAAGACGTCAAAAGAGACAAATCCAAAATGATAGCGCTCTGTTATACGTATATCTCTAGCAAGGTAAACGAATTATACATGTAGTCAAATCCTCTAGTTTACTCCTGTTTCCCCTCAATGTTTAATTAACTTGTGAGGATTTGCGTTACAAAAAATTACGTCGCTGTACAAAGTGCCATTACGCTCTCGGAATATAGCTGAATTTGCAATGCAGCGTAATATCGTTGAATATGGAATGCATAATATCTATACAAGTACTTCCGACTTTAACGCATACAATTTATTCAAAGTTATTTTCAAATTGTTAGGGCATCGATATCTTTTCTCTTCTTTCGGAGAATTTTCATTTCTCTGAATCATAAGCAGCTTTTCATTATTGCATTTTATTTCTTTTCCAAAAATTAAAGCATATTCAGTAATATGCTTCTCGGTAATTGCTTTTCAAAGCAAATTGGTGAATACTTAATTTTACTCACTTATATTCGGTCTCATTTTCTTTTTCTCTACAGCAAAACGGAAAAGACCGTAGCATTTTCGTTCTGATAAAGAAGAAGTTATACAAGAATTTGTGCAAGAATAATTGTGCCCGTTATCACATGCACTATGTTTTAATATAAGAAGTTATTCTTACAAAGTAGGCAAAGAAGCTTGTTCTCCATTAAGATAAACCGATCTTACAGAGTTTCTACTTCGGTGAATTTTCAAATGCCTCTATCCTAGAATTAAGGGAATAGAGCGCTTGGATTTTGTAGTTAAAGCGCGGTTACGAGACGTACGAAGCAGTCCACCAAGGTAGACATTAAACAAACATCCTCGCCGGTGCTGCGGATACGCGAGGTGAAGCGGCAATAAGACACGTCGAGTAAACTACGTGTCTGCGTGTAACAACGAGCCCAGCTAGCTACCCGGTGCGGCACGAAACGAATGCAATTGCGAGCATCGGCAAGGATATAAGCGTGATGACCATGTTCGCTCCGTGCAGCCCCGTCTAGAGTTCCTATTATCGCTCACGTCGCCGCGGTATGGCCGATATAAATCGGAACGGGTGGAACGTATAGCACACCATCTCCCTTTGCCGCCACGCTCTTCACGCTTTAATGCCTGGGAAAGTGTTGCGAACGAACGCGGACCGAAAAGTGGAACAGATTCGTACGATGCCGGCAATGAAAGCAGGGAAATATGAAAGGGGATTTATACTGAGACACAGACTATTTCACGGAAACGATTCAAAGTGGATAGTCGTGGGACATTACGGAGATCTAGGACAATCTCCTGGCACTATACTCTTACAATGTAGAGCAAGATAACGGAGACGCGCCGTCATTGTATTCCTTTCAAAGGAACCTTTCATGGTATTCACACGCCTGCTTGTTGAATACATAATTTTAAGTTTTATTTATTGAAAATTTAAATGCGATGTAAACATGCAATAAATAATCAGATAATCATACACGAAAACATTAACTCGTGTATCAAATATTTCTTTTCATATCAAATACTTCTCTCCTTTCGCAAACGGTTTCAATTAAGAAAATCTGCAAATAATATTTTGTTCCCTCAAAGTCTGTTTGTCCATATACTGCCTCTAGGCTCTTTAATTTCTGTTCAAAGAATTGCTTTGTATCTAACAGTCACAGTTTATTCTTCAGTCTGTGCTCACAAAACGACCGCATCGAGCAGATCCTAAAGAGGTTTTGTTTCCTTTTAAATCAATTTTTTTTCATACACGACGGAATATGCTCGAATACATGCCTTTTAATAACTCTGATACAATAAAAAATAGTGATTCTTCGGAACACAATAAACAATAATAGCACTTCAGAATACAATAAAGAATATTGTGTTTCCGGAAATCAAAAACGCTTGATTGCGAAATTGCATTTTTAATATCGCTATGACCCTGTTCGTATAGAAAATTGAATATCGGACGTACTATATTAGATGTTCGATTATTCAGAATACTGCATCGGCTGCGGGATACTTTCTTGGCACGAAAGAGTATCGGTCCAAAACCGAGGTCATATTCTCGAAAGAGAAGGTCTATCGGCGGTTACGTCTGATGACGTTTAATTAAATACGTTTTGATAGATTTTCGAAAGTAATGTCGTTTCTCTATTGAATCAGTTTTTGGAACCAGTGATGTATTTATTGACAGAATTTGTCAATATCATTCGTTAGTTATTAAACGTCCAAGTAATGAAGTAATTATATGAAATAAAAATAGGTGAGGTGAAAAAGATTATCTGAAAACTGATAAATCGTTAAAGAAATATGACGATGGTTATATTTTCCGATGAATGATCATGATATTGGCGATTTATGTAATCTGCTTATGCAACTTGTTTCCGCGATTTATGTAATCTTTTTCCGATAAAAACATTTACGAGAGCTGATATTCTTTTTTAGTTTGTTTCTTGTAAAATACAACAGAGCTATTTAATTTATTCAGAGTTCAAGATATTAAAGAATTAATGTAATTAAATCTACAGAAATGTGAGCAAAAAATAATAATTTGTTTTATTAAATATATATATATGTATATATTATTATATTTTCATTAAATAGATTTAATTCTAATAATGTATATAAAATAATTAAAATGTTATATTAGGCGTTATATTATTTATGTACAATAAATAAGGCGATATAACTATAAAAAATAACTATGTTTTCAGTATGTGAATTATATACATACAACAATTATAAAATGCGAAGTAATCTTCAATGATTTACTTATAATTATTCCTTGTTATTCCTTGATGTGTTTACTTTCACAGAAACAGATCTTGTAGATTTATTGTACAAATATCGCGTTTTTTAGATACATATCTCACGAATCAATACTTACTCGCAAAAAAGGAAGCGCAAATCATCCTCTGAGAGTCTCCTTCCACGTTTTTTTTTCCAAAAGGCTCCCGGCACACATAAATTGCGTGATTGCCAATAGTTTGCAATCTAAGCTTCACGCGAACCGTGAGTAAAAAAAACCGTCGGTTGCAGGAATCACGGACGCAATTTCATTTCGAGCGAAAAGATCGGCTCTATCTATAGTCGTTTGTCAGTGGGAAATGTTGGTTCGTTGATATACCCCGTTATATTTCGAATCGTATGCGCGCGTGCGCGTCGCAATACAGATCGCAATCGGAAAGCCAAGTTAACGCCTGTCTCCCGCCGCTAACTATTAAATTTTCTTACACCTTGTAGTACCATTTAATCGTCGGAAACTCCTTTATCGAGCGCTTCGCGCATGAGTGAGTTGTCACGCGATCGGAAATCGCCAAGAAATCCCAACCCAGCTTCCGTCACCGGCGAGAAAGCATTACACATATACACACGCAACACTACACTCCACACATACACGTATATTGTCAGTTTGGCGCCTCCTGGCTGCTTGCCCGCGCGCGATGAGAGCAATATTGTCTCACGAGGTTTCCCAGAGAAAAACTTTTTAATCTCTCGGGCGAGCGGATGAGCAGATGCTTTACGCGCGGTGACGACTCTCGACGTGACATTCCGCATTAAAACAACGCGAGAGAGAAAGACGCGGGTAACTATCTCTCTGCGTTTTCGTAGAATTCTCCTAGAGATTTCGGCGCGAATACCCGCTCTCGTGCTTTTCATCGTCGCAAGATCGTCGAAACGTCGCGACGAAATGTCACGTCGTTCGAAACGTCAAATAACGGCGCAACTCGTCGTTTACGAAGCCCATATCGCCAGTTTCACCGTCGAGAAATTTCACGGTGCAAACACGGTCGAAACGAACGACGTAAGTTACAATTGCGCCGCAATTGCGTCATGGGAGAGAACGTGTTCGTCGCCTGACCTCACGACGACGACGACGACGACGACGACGGGGCCCGGGAAGATGCTGATGGAAACACGTACGGGCTCGATACGAGAGTCTACTATGAACGCTTAGACGCGTTTGAAAAACGCGGCAATATCGTCCACTCTTCTCTCTCAACCCTTTTCTCTCCCCTCTCTCTCTCTCTCTTTTTCTCTGCTCTCGCGGCTTTTTACCTCGTTCTCAGCGTTTTGCCGAGAACGCGCAACGTTCGCGCTTCAACGTTGAAACGATAGGGAACTTTTTTAATCTTCAGAGCGCGAACGAGCAGATGCTTTCACGACGATGGTTTCCCGACTTGACACGCCGTGTTAAGAGCCACCGTCGCGCACCGAGGGGATGAGAGAAACGTTCGCCTTCGGCGCCGCCACCCCTCAGGATTCCGGCGGGCCGTGGACGTCGGAATGACGTGTCGGTAGAGATTTCGTTCCGGATGCCAGGAAGCGCGTTGCAGCAACTCGAGAGAAGGTTGAATAACTGGGGGAGGCTCTGTGAAGCGCGCATTTACATTCGCCAAGTATATAGCCCACAAGACCGTAACTAGGTGCAGGATATTCCGGAGGGTCCACGTCGAGCGTGAAAATATCATTTTTAATGCCCTGTCGGAGGCGCGTTTACAACCATGACGTTTATCCTCTCTCTTCTCAACGAAGTTCGCTTCCGTTTGATCGTTGGCATTTTAAACTGCGCTCCATGGATAAATAATGCGATAATATTTTTTTTTTCGTTGATTCAGTATATCGATGTCACAATAAAAAACTCACAATCAAATAAAAAATTTACGACTATATATAATTATGTATTGGCTCCACGAGATAAATTGGAGAAATCTGATCGTATTTCGATATCCCAATTTTTATTTTCACTCTTATTGTTAGTTATATAATTTATATTTATTTCTAAATTAAGGTTAAACAGATATCGTTCCTTGTTGTATCTATAAAGAATATCGTTTATCAGAAATTGCATATTTTCATCAAATTTACCAATCAAATTCAATAAGCGACCAACATGCAAGATCGAGTTACTCAACCGGATGATCAAGTGAAACCGCTCTTAGCGGTGGTAACGAGAGAAATAAAATTAACGATGCAAAAAATAGCGGTCGTTTGTGGAGGATCATTTTACACACGGTTACATCTCGTGGCGACATCCCCGTACGTGATCGCGTCCGCCGACGCATAGTAATTCGAGATCATGCGCGGCGTCGGCAGCGGCGGGATGGTTTTATCGCGTTAACGCGTCCTTTCGTTGGCCTTGTCGTGCGATAACGCATTATATACGAGCCTCGAGCGTAAAGCTCTTCTCCGAGGAAAACCCGTTTACGATCTAAACTAGGCACGGATGACAGGATCAAGGATGACAGGTCGGTTGTTACAATTTCGTCCTAGATGCTCTATTTTCTTACAGTGCATCATCTCGTATACCTTCGCAAAATGATTCGTCAAGGTGAAGTCGCTTTAACATCGCACCCTTTCCGACTTCCGACCCACCCTTGTCGGAAGAACTTTTCGATTCCCTTTTCGTGCATCTCTGTCTGTTGTTCCCTATTCTCTTCTTCCTTCTATCTTCGCCCTTCTCCTCTGACATCGTCCCAAACTTCCAGAGGGATGCTGGTGAGCCTATCCGACCGCAGGATAGAGAACCGCGCACGGTCAGCCTGTTACCGTGGTAACGCGATACAGGAACTAAATTCCGTATGTACTCGGGGCCTAAGTGCACTTCTAACCGAAATTTCACGGCCTAAGCAAACGTTACACCGACGCTTAAACGAGATTTCGTATTAATGTTTAAAGCGATATACTGACCGGCCGTTGCGTAGATTGCAATCAGTGAAGGATGGCGTATAACTACACGATTATGGCGTATTGTTTGAAATGCTCAAGTGCCTGTAAACGCTCGGGCGCAGATTTTGCGAGATTTACCACGCACTTGCGATGATATTTGAGACAAGATTGAAGAAACCAAATATCAGCGTGTTCTTTTCTATTTATTATTATACCTATTTTATTATTAATACATTTTATTATTATATTGTGATATTTTGTTTATTGTTTATCGAAATTAAAAAACTAAATAACTCAATACACGATAACCGATACACTGTTGATTCGAGGAAAACCATAAATTATTTTCTATCTACAGAGCATCGATTTTCCCGTTCGACAATCTTGCCACATTTTAGCTTTTATTCTCTCAAAATTACTAAATTGTGTTTTTTAATTAATTTGTAAACTTTACAATCGAAAAATAAATGAGTTTCATACGTGAGGTTTACAACATAGATGCATGACAAAGCATTTTTATAATTATAAATCATGAATAAATGCCAAAAGTCAAAGGTGGAAATAATTTCTCTCGAATTAAAAACATCTGTTGCACGATTTATTTCGAAATGTTATTTTCTCGCGGCTAGATTGTCCTAAATGTTCCAGTGCAAAAAATGGAAACCGTGTAAATTCATCACAACGCACGTATATGTGATAGCTGAAACTCGCATAGTCGAGGATTAAATGAGTTACTGGGATACGTATGTGATTTCTTCTCTATTTTCGCACGAGGTAGAACATGCAGATATCTCTTGAAATTTCTACATCTTGGCACAGAGGTGTCTTGTATA